TGTATAGGCTTCACTAACGTGACGTTTAGGCGGTTCGTTTAACTATTATACGTGATGTACGTTGTTTTTTTTTTTTGGAGGGGGGTTAATGAAAGTGTTCTAAAACACGACATTAATTTCTTGACGACCTAATAGATTAACATTGAAAAAAATCAAACGGTCAATTAATGTTAAAATGTTTTACTATTTATTTGTACATGTTTAAATTATATAGTACAAATACTAAGGATGCACATACCACGTGTGAAACGCGTGTTTGTCGTTACTTTTCAGCTATGTTTTTGCGGCTTATGGGGTTTAAAATGAAACAAAAGGGAATGCTCAATAGCCGTGGGACTTGAAATTCTATTAGGCAGGATTAGAGCAAATTACTCTATGAGACCTTGGGCGTGTTCAAATATATCAATCGAAAGGATTTGACGTCCTGAGTCCAAAACTGTAATTGGATCTCAAATCGGTAAAGAGATGACTGAACTATGAGCTAAAAGTTTGTACTTTTGCTTGTTCCATTAGTTCTATGAGCCTCTATGCCGCGACTAACAATTTAACATTAACAGGCCCTGTCGATATTTTAAGACTTTTTTCGTCATTTGGTTTGCACGCTAGAATCTTCATGCATTAAGAGCAGAAGGCGTGGTTTAGTGTGTTAAACCTATGAATCCGTTGCTGCAAAACGTATTCCTACATTTGGGGGTGGTGGATGCCCTATAAGAGTAACGGTCAAATTCCAGTATTCAGACAGATAAGAGTAACGCTAAACCTAGCGTTGGGTGCTGTTAGTTAGCTGCCTTAAGAAAAGCTTATCAGTTGAAAATTAGGAACGAATATGTGCATATAGTCCTGTGTTTGGCTCTGCATGAACAAGAAAATGAGATCTGTATTTATCCAAGTTTCACATTTTATTTCTAGGCACAGGGACGTTTGGACGAGTGTGTCTATGTAGAGACAAAGTGACCACCAACTACTATGCCATGAAAATCTTACAGATGGCTGACGTCATCAGACTAAAGCAAATAGAACACGTAAAGAACGAAAAAACAATTCTTCAGCAAATTAAACACCCCTTTATCATTGAATTGTAAGTATGAAATTGTCTTATTTAAAATTTTAGTTTGGCTTATATATCGATACTTTCTATTAGATTTTAGTCTGATGGATAAATAATCAGGGCATCGGCTTGTCCTTATAGGTTGGGAATACATTTGTAACAAGGAAAAAAAGATATTATTTTAGTTGTTATTTGTTATTAAGCACGAAGGGCTAGCTGTGCTCTGACCACCACGGGTATCAAAACCCGGTTTCTAGCGGTATAATTCTGCAGACATACCACTATGCCACTGAAGGGTATAATTTTTAAAAATGCATTTGTTTTCACTCATCTTTCTAAAAGCCAATGGCTTAACTTATAAAAAAATAAAACAGATTATAATGTCAACTACAGATATCAATATAAGGTTATTTAATCCACACTAATATCAATGCACAGTCATCTACCAACCGCTTGTTTGTTTGAAGTTAAGCACAAAGCTACACAATGTGCTATCTGTGCTATGCCCAACACGGGTATTGAAATCTGGTTTTTAGCGTTGTAAGTCCGCAGACATATCAGACGTACCCTTGACAGTTGAAAAAAGCATCAAAAATTTTAAAAAATGCAAACAGACAAAAATAATATAATAATGAGATCATAATATTGGCCCGGCATGGTCAGGTGGTTAGGGTGCTGGACTCGCAATCTGCGTGTCGTGGGTTTGAATCCCCGTAAAACCAAACATGCTCATCCTTTCAGCCGCGGGGGCGTTATAATATGACGGCCAATCCCACTATTCGTTGGTAAAAGAGTAGCCCAAGAGGTGGCGGTGGGTGGTGGCGACTAGCTGCCTTCCCTCTAGTATTACACTGCTAAATTAGGGACGGCTAGCGCAGATAGCCCTCGTGTAGCTTTGCGCGAAATTCATAGCAAGCAAATTCATAAGTTTGGCTTAACAACAGAGTTGTCACACACATACTTTTTCAATGTTCGTGCAGAAGTATATATAACACACCTTTTCGTTTCAAGGAGACATATGAGCCTTTGTGATATGTCTGATAATATTCTATATATGTATATATTATATACCCAAATTGTTTGTTGTACTTTATAGTTTTTAGCAAATCTATAATATTAACTTTTAATTTTTTCATTGCTACTTTCCGCTGACATTTACCCTATTATTACCTGTATAATGAATTATTTGACCTTTGGTAATACACCTACGTATTTTACATTTCCTTATGTTTATATTACAACTTCTTTTTTATTATTTGCCGCTTCTTTTTCATATATCAGTAGACCTCACTAATCACCTGATTAATTAATTTATCTTATCGTTATGACTAACAGTAACATTTCCTTTTTTCATAAATATTTCTTTCTTTATAAACTTTCTTCTGAACTCTCTTTAAAATAAAAGACAAATTCAATCAAGTACACAAAGGTATAATTTCCCGCGTTAAACATACATGAAGATCAAAAATGACCTGAACCACTCATACTACACTAATGTAGTTGGAGGACCATGCCTCCGCTGTTAAACAGTTAAACCCAAAATAAGGGAGCAACCTGTAGTTGCTAACTTGACTACATTTTATGTCGCGTGAGAAACTAACAGATTGGACACACTTAAAGGACATTGAAAACGATCTTTATTTAAACATAATAAAAGAAAACAGCGTGCGTACCTGCGTAGATAAGTGGACAGTTGCCTCTATTGGATCTGTGAATAACTTGTCAGGTTTCCTCCCTCAAGATGAAAATCTGCCGAACTAGTCACCAGGGATACCAAGTAGAACTAAGCAAAAAACGTGCACTTGAATTGAACAAGTAAACTCGCTTTCTTTGTGCAAATGGTAGCATCACCTTGTGGCCTTTTCTCCCTCAAAATATTGTTCAGCTGTTGCAATCAGATAACGTCATAATTAGCATATATTACCGGACGTAGCAGAGAGACAATCTAGTAATCACAATGTAGTTGCTGGTATTGGAATTTGGAGTCAAGTAATTGAAATGATAATCAGCTCTTCGGCAGTTAGTTGTACAAACAACCAGACAAAGAATCCAGAGTTATCGTTTTATAGGTTCCCAAAAGATCCAGTACGTAGATTTAAATGGAATGTGTCTGTAGAGCGTACAGACCCGAATAACATTGACAAGGCTTGGCAACCGTCGTTCCCATTTTATATCTGGTTAGTACTAATTGTATATACAATGTACCTTCTCACAATTATATTGGACATATCTTGATAGAATCTGTAGCTTGTAAATATTTGGTGCTTCCCGCAATCTCAATACTATGATACAGACCCATACAATTAGTACTAGTTATAAAGGCCCAGTGGGCGATAATAAAGTTTTATCAAAAATGTGGCTTGCCAAGATAGGTGGTCTTAAAATCCAGGGCTTACTTGTGTAAAATATATGGTAATGTCTACTGAAAAAGTGGTTTTACAAGTCAGGATGATTTAAAATAGAATACAATACGATAGAACATAAACAATAGGCCTAGCCACTAAAAACAACTTCGACTTACCCTCAAGTAAACTATGTAGTTGGACGTCTTGTACATTTTCCACAGTCTAACATCGTGCACCCATCCGGCCACAAAATACTTGTAAGTGTCAAGACTTTTACAGGCATTGAACTGTTTTCCGGTGAAAAAAGATTGCCAGGCCTAAATAATTTACGATATAAATATTTTTAATATGTGAGACGTTATCGTTTGTTTGTAATTGTAGGCCTAAATCTGATCTTCCGTTTGCAATGTCGACTAATTTACTGGCTTCTACTTCTAGCGCGATTGTCAATGTCATTGCTGACGAGATGGGATAACTTAAGACCGACTTTTTTGCACTTTTCTACATATCTTGACTTGCAAATATTGTCTAGTTTTCTAGTAAATTTGTGAAAAATAAACGGAAAACTAGATGATTGTGTACCAGAGGCTACGTTTTCACGAATAATGTTTATGTCCAATGTGGCCGCTAATTGTTGCCGTGTTTACTGTGGTCACGTGACTGCATAAGGTCTAATCCTTTTAACCCGGATGCTAAATGTATTACTACAATATTCCTATGGGCAGAAGAGATGTCAATTACTACAAAGAAACGAAGAAACTAGGACAAGTAAATTTTAATGACTTTCGGTACCACGTGTTGCCGCCATTACATCATGGAAACTAAATAAACGAAAAGAAAAATCTTTATATCTCTAAAGTAAGTATGAAAATATAATATGCTCCCATATCACTCTATTTTGGTAGTTATTCATCGTTTTCCATGTTTAAATTATTGGAAATAATTAAGAAAAAAGTGAATAAAATGGCTAAAAACTACAAATATTATGCGAATTTTCCCCTCTACTGTATGCAAATAAACTGCACTAGAGTATAGTCACATATTGATAGTTTGCATTGTGAGTGGTAGTCTCCTGACCAATCAGATAGTGCCATACTATCATAATACCAATAAAAGTGTAGGTAGTCATATCATTTCCAGCAGTGGCGTGGTGAATACAATCACAGCTTCCATGACAGAAGTGCTACCTGATAAACGTGTATATATTAAGGTTGTCGCTGTATACTACTCCATGCGACAGATTGAGGTAAAGTTTTATGTTTCAGTAGGAACTGCAAGAAAACTCTGAAGAGGTTAAACTAGCAATATTAGTAATAGAAGCAGTCGAGGTTGAAAGCCTATTATTTTCAAAAGTAACTCAGAATATGCTTTTTACATAGTGCTCGACAATCCAGTAGAGATCCTGCTAATGACCAAGCTGTAAGAACAGGTATGAATCTTAATAAAGTTTCTTTCATTACTCAATCAAGCCGTTTCCAAACTTTATTGTCTAATCAAATTTCAAAGGTGTGAATGTTACCTATAGTAAAATACACACTAGCACTAATGGGTGTGTAGTTACTCAACAACCACTGCTTAGGAGCTATAACCTAACTAAAAAACTGAAATGGACATCATACTTCAATTAAAGTTCGAGGAAGGTACTGTTTATAGATAAATCCAAATGCAAACTGTTTGGCAACATTTAACAGTAGTTCGTAGGATGGCAGAGAATGGCATCATGGTCAACATAAGACATCTACAGTGACACTAGCTGGGAGACCAATAAGTATGGGCTGTATCTTAGCCATTCTTGTTGAAAATCTACACAAAACTGACCACATCCTGACTGCAGAGAAATACAAGAAGATTCTTACTCCCTTACCTTAGGAAATAGACATGTTGGGCAGCGGTTCATCTGTAAGAAAAAAATAGACTGATGGAACACTCATAACTCTGGCTTGAGTTCGCAGGAATGGATTATTCTATACAATGTCCAAATGTGAATATTGTTAAATTGCATAAGCTTATATGAAAACTGAGAAGGTCAATCAGCAACCAAAAAAAAAACTTTACTGAGTTGTGGAGAATAATACAGGACATTTGGAACAATACTTCACAGTCACACATTGATAAACGTTGAGACTCCTGTATGTGTACACCTGTGCGTTTCCATACGTATTTCCAAATCTATTTATATCATATATATATATATATATATATATATATGTATATGTAGTTAATTAAACTAGAAACACAAAGTCTAGAAAAACAAACGGATCGACGAGGATAAAACTACAAAAGTAACAGAAATTGAAAATTATTTAGTAGAATATCATATACCATATTTTGTTTTCATAGGTTGTTATTGTTGATGTCTGTTATTAAGCACAAAGATACACAAGGGCTATCTGTGCTCTGCCCACCACGGTTATCGAAATCCGGTTTCTAGAGGTAGGGTACACCATCTATCAGATTTAACCTGAATTCACTTGTCTAAAATATTACAAATGTAAACATAACAAGCATATTTCGGTGGTACAGCCCACATTTATAGCACTTTTCACTGATAGCAGCCTGTTGTGGAAATGTGCCTGCTTAAATGGTGTTATTTCTCCTCGTTTCTGAGTTTGTTTTTCTTGATCTGATATTTTCAGTTCATATAGCTTATTATTATCAGTGATTTGAAAGTGCTGATTTTAACTATGATGTTAAGTTTATTTGCTTTGTTTTAGTGTTGTTGTTTTTTGGTAGATATTTTTATATATAGTTGTACTATTTTCTATGTTAACATTAAATAAATCTGCAGGAGAGGACGTCACTTGTAATGTTTAAACTGCACCGATGTCACACTACAAAGCATTTTGTTTGTTTGTTTGAAGAACGTGGACAACACACGACGATACCTCACTCTATATGTTGTTCGAATATGTGTGTGGTGGCGAGCTGTTCACATACCTCAGAAATTCCGGCCGCTTCAATAGCACTACAGGAAATTACTACGCTGCGGAAATAGTGCTTGTTCTGGAGTACCTCCATAAGCAACAGATTGTTTACCGGGATTTAAAACCCGAGAATTTACTATTAGACAAAGATGGCCATTTGAAGCTGACCGATTTTGGATTCGCTAAAATTCTGACCGATAGGTAATTTTAGTATTATCATCAAAAGCCTATAATATCTGAAATTCAAAAGCCATCTATAGTACAGTAACATATGTTATGATTAAATAATTTCACTTATCCTGATGAAATTCGAATTTAAATTTTAATGTCATCATAACATTATTATCATCAAAAGCCTATAATATCTGAAATTCATAAGCCATCTATAGTACAATAACATATGTTATGATTAAATAATTTCACTTCTCTTGATGAAATTCGAATTTCAATTTTAATGTAATCATGACAATGTTATTATAAATAAGTTACATTTGTTACTACAGGCATAAGAAATGTTAAACTTTTAAATTCATAAGACTAATGTATAAAAGGAAACAACAAATAGTTGAACTAATGAGCGTTGTTCAAAATAAAAACTGTATTGATAATCATGGCGCCTGCCATGTTATCTAGAGTGAACTAATATGTTTCGTATCTCAACCGCAAGGAGAAAAAGCTTAAATGTTAAATCTAGCTACAATTCTGGATAGCCTTATTTTTTTTATTTTTTTACGGTATGAAAGACTGCTAAGGTGTGTATTTTAACAAAATGTACACCAAACTGTCTGCTAGACCCAAAACTATATAAAACTGAGATTTGGACAGTATACTTAGGAATTAATCAAATTTAGAGCTGCTGAAAACTGATATTGCTAGGAATTGCATTACATAACTAAGTATGGTATAGGATTTGTTATCCAATATATCAGTAAATATGTTCATATTTTAAACCATAACATTGATATTTAGTATAGTCGAACTTATCATGAGATTGTTAAAGAAATCTGTACATGTTATTAATCTAGTGTTGAAACTATACCATTTTTCCTATTGCCTTGTAAACATTTCAGGACCGTATTTTTCAACCAAAGAACCTGCCTAAAAGGCTCTCAAACTAGCAGTCTTGATGCATTCTCAGGTACTTGGGAATAATTTCACAAAACATATAATACTTTATAATATACATAAAATATTATACGTGGTTGACTAAAGTCAATATTTTACAAAAACAAAAATGAAGTAACACAAAATAAAACACGTGATCAAATTGCGAGTCGAGCGCCTTATCCACCTGGCCATGATATAATAATGGTATTCCAATTAAACTATATTCACCATATCCATTGCCGATGACGCGTTCCGCTCAATCAAAAACTCTTCAGGCCAGCTGGGGCAAACAATATTAGTCAGAACACTATATATATATATATATTCCATTTGTTATAATAACAGTTGTTATGGGGTGAAGGCCTTTTACAATTATAATTATAATTATACTTGTCATAAGACACCACTATTAGGCCTATTATATTTTCAAGTACTATGTTCTGTATCTAGTCCCTTAGGGAATTTCAAGAATTAGAACAAATTAGACGACAAATGGTATGGAAAATATAGTGTGATTGGAATACTATTGTTATACACTCTTCTAATCCTTGAAAGATCCTAAGGGACTAGATTAAGTACTGATTTGTGAAAAATACTTTGGCAATAGTAATTTAGAAGGTTTTGGGATAGTATGTCAAGCCTATCATATAAGGTACTCGTTTGCATGTTTATTAATATTTTTGAAATACATTACAGCATCTCAGCTAATAAGAATTTTATATTTTCTTAGAAAAAAAGAAACATAGTAAGGTTTTTCGCGGGAAACAGTTTAGTAACAGTATACGTAGATGCTTTAAGATATCCAGAAATAATTTCATTTAAGATTGTTTAGTTTGATTACTTGCAGAACATGGACACTGTGTGGGACGCCGGAATATTTAGCGCCAGAAATTATCCAGAGTAAAGGCCACAATAGGGCTGTGGATTGGTGGGCTTTAGGAATTCTTATATATGAAATGCTAGCCGGGTAAGTTTATTTCATAATATTTATAGATCAATATATCTATGAGTTTCCTGTAATCTAAACACAAATTTTAAAACACATAAGGTGTCATTGGGGTATTTACAAAGAAAACCTAATGTTTCAAATCATGACCTTTTATAAACTATTTGTACTTGATGAATAGAAATTGACCAGAGGTATATTAAGAACTATAAGATTTATTCCTTAACGTTTCATCATAGTACAGAATGTTTCGAAATAATATTATTATTCATACCTAAATCACTTTTCTTGCAAACTAACATTATTTTTCTTTGTATTTTCTCTCTTTTTCAACAATATGACATTAATGACTAGAATAAAACGCGTTTCAGAATGCAGGATAATGAGAGAAACAAAAACACTGTTCAGAATAGATGATCCTTGCTGCTCCTTCACTAAGGAATAGAATAGATGGCACACCAACCATTCCTGAATAAAGCATGTTATCCTTAACATACCTCTATTGAAATTTGATTATCCGAGGACGATGAGGTTTTAAGATAAAATCATTTTAAATATAGTGTTTTCTCTATAGTCATCTTGTACATTAGTGGTTTAAGTACAAGTTCTACACGGTATTTATTACATCTTTCTGTACATATATGTTATATGTTTGTGTGATTAAAAAAGTGAACTTGTGGAACTCACATTAGATGCGGAAAATATCTACCTTGCTTGACAAGTATTTAAAATGTTGAACTTATAGAAGTATATGATAATCTAAATAATGTTTGTTTTCGGAATAAGTTGAAGCAAATACACGTTCCGATATAAATCCAAATCTGGCCCTGTACCTTTCCCTCAAACAAATAAATTTAGTTAAGTAAGCTGCTTGTTTTAATTACCAACAAGAGTTTCGATATTTAAGGCATATTCAATATTGATTTCAGTAACAATCAGTTCTTCTGTCACGCAGTTTTAGGGTGTACGTTATATACAATATATATTCATAGCATTTCGTGTATTTCTCAGATAGGCTGTTTTATCAATATAGAAGTTATATACATGTATATTTACACCTAGTCAATAGAGAAAGTACACCTACCAAGAAAAATATAAGAAAATACATGCATAATTTCTCATTGTTTGAAATAGGTATCCACCTTTCTTTGACGAGAATCCGTTCGCTATATACGAGAAGATTTTAGTTGGCAAGATTGAATGGCCACGACATGTTGATCCAGTTGCTAAGTAAACAAGAGTCCAATTAATTATGACCAACAAGTGTTTTCTATGATCTATATATTTTATGTATTTTCTCAGTTATAAAATTCAAACATAATTCCCTTTATTTATGCAGATGTGTACATTAGTTTATCAAATGCTACTTTATATTTTTAGGTTTTTGTTTCAGTTTCTTGTGATTTGAAAATTGTAATCTAAATTCACGTATTTTAACATTTCTATAGAGACAATTCCATTTTTCGATATGTTGTTTATTGTAGAGCTCTTACGATATATTTCGCTTAGTATCTTAAGGATGTTTTTCTGGGAAGTACTGTACGAGAAAATTGTTCGGATTGTGCTCTTTAGTCATACGCAACTCATTGCATCAAAATGATTCAATGTACAGGGCTCAAAATTTTCATAGATTTTACAGATATAAACTGTAATGTTTTATATATTAAAAGTGGTACCGTTAATTTTAAAAATATAATAGTTTTTCAAGAACTCCAGTTTCTCAGTAAAG